CGGTTGGAGGAAATTAAAAGGTTTGACTGTATTAGTTCTACTTTGTGTCAGGCTTTGTCAGGAATAGCCAAAGTACTAAGACAAAGTAGTCCATACCTTGTCTCACTATATCTTTCGAATTGGCTGATATTTTATAAATTGATGGGGAGGGAGATGACAGTGCCGCCTTAAAGCCCTCTTTAACCCATATGGGTTATAAGTGGAAGCATACCAAGTTCTTATATCTGTCATCCTACATGGTCTTTTGTGACTCCCAGTTGAACACCCTCGCTCTGCAGATCTGCAGACTGAACCGTATATGTTTCATAACTCAATGATTGGTGACATCTGAAATAGAATTATTAGATTGTAATTACAGGGTAAATCAAAATACTTAGAAGATGTTGTAATTTAATTAAATACAATGTAATAAAATCTTTGTGAGAAGTTTTTGCAAATTAAAGAAGAACGATAATTCTATTCCAATTATATTATGATTGCAGCAAGCAATACTGGTACTTGCAGAACTGTCTATTTCCCTGAAATGATGGGTCTAAACATTGCCACTCTGTAGCACTTTGACTGTAATTTAGTTAGTATCCTTGTTGTAAGGATTTGCACATTTTTAAATATCTAAGTCACATTTTGAATAATTATCAATCAAGTGGCTGTAGCCTGTGTTAAGTTATTTATAGTGTATCTAAACAACACAAACTTGGGTTTTGCTGTTTCTGCAAAAAGAAACGTGTGATGTCACCGATGACCTATTATTCCTAAAATGGAATGTCAGCTTGTGAGACCACACAAAGGTTTAGCCGTACAATCAGCACAATGTGCAAGAAAACACTATGAGTCTTTCTAGTTTTCGAGGCAGCCTTGACAAAATTCACTAGGGATCATGTGAAACACCTGTCCTTTCTTTATATGATCTATATTTCGAATTGTTCATTTTTGTATATAATAGTCATTGAGATGTGCTAATTAATGCATATTTTGCTTTTTGTTGGAACATTTTATACAATTTGACAAGTACTACAGACAGCTTTTCATTATTAAAGTGCATCAACTTATATTTAGACAGAGAACAATATACTCTAACAATTATTTAAAGCTAGTTTAGGTTATGAGACTTGATGTTTAGTAACTCAGTGTTTGTAGAAAATGGAGACCGGGATGTGTAAATTAAATCTCGAAATTAACATCCACCTAGTGTGAAGAGTTAAGCCATTTCACTGTTGCATCCACTGGATGTTTGCTGAGAATTGAAGTACCCACAGAATATGTCAGCGTCAAAATAGGCTCAACTGGAGACTGAACAATGAACTTGGCAAGACGGTGATAACTTGGAGACAGAAAAGTGGACCAGAAGCAAAAACAGTGGACTGAACTAAATAGGTCTTGATTGAAAGTACACAAACATGTAATATATTGCACATGAATATGTCAACAGATAGCATGAAGATAGTAACTTGAATGTATTTGTTTTGGTTTGGCAATTGTTTGTATTATTTGGGTAAGGTGAAGAAAGTACAACAGAAGTCAAAGTAATAATCCCCCAAGTCTAGTCAGTCATGATCTGTGGGATGTGGACCCCACCAATCTTTTTTTTGGCCCAGTAAGATTGGCATTGCAGAAACATTATGCAGCTGTTGAGCTATGTGGGAATAAGTAGTATAGAGAGGAACCATTTCACCAGTTGGATATACAAAATGGTAATACATAGGCATCATGGAGTAAGCAGATAATTAAGAATGTTTAGGGTCATCTAGTACAGCAACACATGCAGTGTTTCAGCCCATTGACCTTAATCATGTATCTTTATGTATGGTGACACACATGATTAAGGCTATGGAACCAAAACGTATGTTTTGCTGTCCTAAATTACCCAATAAATCCTTATTTATCACCAATATCTATAAAGAAGGTGCACCGCAGAATCTCCCATAGTGTAATAACATTTAATAAATGCAAAATCAAAATTTGCAATTATCCCATAAGGTGACAGAGACACTTTAATTACAGTTTCATAATACCAAGAGATAGAATATTCACCAAATGAAACTGTTATCATAGCAAGAAGAATATTTTGAAGTCCAAACAAGGAAAATGTTTAGTTGCAATTGCTGCAAGCTCATTACAGTTATTTTAACAATAATTTAAACAATTTTCAAGTCCATCTAGTATATTCAACTCAACATAACAAAGTACTGAACAATGGCATATTAAGATCATTTCTTGTTAACTAAATATACAAACACAAACTAAAAAAAAGTCAATATGTATATTTTAGATGAATGCAAACTAACATCACACAACTGAGATCGAAATTTGTGTCTGTCCAAAATGTAGCTATCATATATTAGACTTGTGACAGTAGTCACCATCACCTGGGATTTCATACAGACATTTTATGTATGGCTCTGAACTATTCCTATGTTTAAGTCACCCTGTGTCCATTGTGGGTGCAGGGTGTGTGTGTAATGTGGTAGTTTGTGGTTAAATGTTAGTGTGCTCTCCTGTCTTGCTAATGCTTGCAATCAACTACGTGGATTTAGCTGTGGAGCCTGTACAGCGCCACCTGTTGGTTGCAAGGATCTAGAAACAGCAACATGCACTATCTAAATAGCAAGACTTACTAATTTGCATATTCAGGTAGATTTGCATATTGTTAATTCTGCAGGCAGTATTTCCATTAAATTGATTGCAGGTTTAAAAAAGACATAATGATTAGATCATTAGGAAGCATGTGAATTGACCCCTTATATAAAGGTGGCTTTGTTTTATTGACAGAGTTCTTTAGCATCAAACATTTAAGAATTAAACAACTGTCCAGTAATTGAAAATCTTTCCAAGTCGAAGTTTATTTGGAATATTTTTATGGCCCAAGAGTCTATAATAATATTAGTGGATACAGCTGAACAATTTGATTGAATTTCCAGCATGCACTGTTCAGCAGAGGGAATATATTCATAAATTAATCATATATTACTAACATGAATAATTAGAGTTCATTAGTTTTTGACATTTCTGTGCATCTGTGTGTCTTTGTGTGTGTATGCATGTGTGTGCATATCTGTGCATGTGTGTGTTTTTGTGTGTAAACGCTTTTTTTTAAAAGCATTTCACTGGTTCAGTATTATACCTTAGCTTTTATAACCTAAGATTATTTGTTACTTGGACTAATTTAGCTATGATTTGTTTTTTTATAGAGGTTTGTATTGGTTCAAAAATCTGGATGAGCACAAGTAACCGTTTTGCCTCTAAGGAGACAGTGCATTGACCCAGAGAGACCATAAATTGGTCAGATTATGCTCAGGATCAACCTCCTTTAAGATAATTGGTATTACCATGGATACCTCCTTTTGCTTAACAGGTGTCTAACTCTTTCTGACAGATTTATTGCACATGTGCCATCTGCTTTATTTAGGAATTTCTTGTGTCACCTTATTTTTAATTTAATTTTGTGTCTTCACTGACATGGCTTGGTGTAATGTATGTAACAAATATATGTAAAATGAATTATCCATTTCAGTCTTTCCTGGTGGTGGCATCATTGGCTAATTAACTCATTCAGAAGACCATTCTTCTGAGATTTTAGGGACCAGAATAGGTAAGAAGACTTTAAGGCTTTAATCATTGCAATGTCCAAAGATACATGTGTTTTTTTAACCCTCTGGATGGTATTTTGTTTATCATTCTCGGATCCTGTACCAGAGACCTGAGACTCTGCGGGTTCTGTGCAGTATTTATCTGTCCCTAAAACTGCACTCTACTGGACAGAATCTGCTTAAGTCATTCTCCCATCATGCTCCTATTACCACTGGGACTATTACTGCACCAAGACTACTTTACTTTCAAAATCTCTACTATATCTTTTTTTTTCTGTCCTTCATATTAGGCAGACTTCTCATAATCACTTTGCTTGGTGTTTTCATCACTGGGTACTGCCACATCCACCACCAGAACAGTATTCTGTTCCTTGTCTACCACCACGAGGACTAGTTGTTAGACCAGTACCTGATTACATTATTGTCCATCTGAACCTGAAAGACCCATAAGATGACTGCTAGCTTTTATAGGATCATCCCTCTTATATCTGCAGTTTTGCCATTCAGCAGCAAAAGTGTATATTGGCAACCGTCTGTGGGTATAAGTGTCTCTACAGCTACTGCTCATCTCGATAGATAGACAGTTTGTATAGTAGGATATAACTAGAGTTGAGCGGACACCTGGATGTTCGGGTCTGACGGGTTCGGCCGAACTTTGAAAAAAAGTCAGAGTTCGGGCTCGAACTTGCCCCTGAACTTGACCTCGAACCCGAACCCCATTGAAGTCAATGGGGCCCCTACCATTTGGCCACAAAAATGCCTCTAAAAAACTCCTGGTAAGAGCTAGAGAGCTGCAAAAGCAAGTAAAATGGGGGTAAGAGCAGGACAAGTGCCCTGCAAACAAATGTGGATAGGGAAATCACTTAAAACAACATAAACATAAAAAATACAGCTGAGCCATAAAATAGCACTAGATGGAATCTTTGATTTTAGCTTTGGAAGAATAAAAATCAAAATCTAAAGCACGGCTGTCAGGAGGATCAATAGAATTATCCATTTGAGAGAGGGTTGGAGTGCAGGGTATTCTCTTTCATTGTTCAAACTGAGCTCAACTCCTGATGCATGGAGAAAAGGCCTTCACAAGCCTCTGCTATTGTGTACATAGTTTATATTAAGTGACCCATAGGTTGAAGAGGCGGTGACTGTGGCGGTGTAGGTGAAAGCAGCGGTGGAGGAGGAGGATGAGGTAGCCAACACTGTGGTTTTTTGTAATTGTGGTAGCCCACAAATATTGGGACATACAACAAAAGAAACATTTGTGGCCTGTGGTGCATTTCTTGCAGTCCTGATGCATGGAGAAATGTTCAACTCCTGATGCATTGAGAAAAGGCCTTCACAAACCTCTGCTAATGTGTACATAGTTTATACTGAGTGACCCATAGGTTGAGGAGGCGGTTGCCGTGGCGGTGGAGGAGGAGGATGAGGTAGCCAACACTGTTTATTTTTATATATATATATATATATATATATATTTTTTTTTTTTATTATTATTTTTTATTTTTTTATTTGGGGTAGCCCCCAAAATATTGGGACATATAAAAAAAGACAACTCTGTTCCGCAGAGTAGCTGTTGACATTATAGTTGTGCAGGAACTTCGTTGACTCTTGAGAACCTCGGGCAAATCGCACATCACCGTGGCAGAGACTTTGCATGCGGATGTCATCCATATCAACTTTCGATGCCAGTTTCTGGGGAATCAGGGTTCCATTCCGTACAGGGACCCTGAGAAATGACTACCACATGCAAGGAAGGCAGCAGGCGCGCAAATGACCCACTCCCGACGCGGGAAGGTAGTGACGACAAATAACAATCTTCGGCCCTGTAATTGTAATGAGTCCACTTGATATCCTTTAACTCTGATCAATTGGAGGGAAGTCTGGTGCAGAGCCACTGACCCGTGCAGGAAGGCTGAAGTTACGCTGCGGCGCAGACAGGCGAGCAGCAGCAGGGTGACAACGCCAAAAGCGCACACAGCCACTACAGTGAATGTCACATCCTGTTCCAAGTTGCGGATCAGTCTGGTGATGGCTTCTGGTATCAAGTACTCTTTTTACTGAAGCTGCATCACGGTCCTGGTATGTGGCTGCACAATCGCTGGTGCTCAACACCAGGGGGCGTGCGGTTACCCTGCACCAGACCCTGCTAATCCATTCCACACTATGACTCCTAACTTCAAAATCAGGCATACTGAGTCCCGGTCGTCCGACCGCCGCCCAGAAAGTGTCTGGATCCTGGTCACCGGACTGCCCATCTCACTGTGAAACTACGAATGGATTGTTAAATCTGGTACGAACCCGAACTTTGCAGTTCGGGTTCGCTCAAGTCTATTATGGATCCTTTGATCGCTACATGTATTACTTGGATAACTGGTAATTCTCGAGCTAATACATGTCGACAAGCGCTAGGGGACAGCCGCTCCGCTTTTGCACCCTGCTCCCTCTTATGCTGTGCTGGTGCCTCTGTGCGACCAGCGCCTCTTCCTCCAAACTGCACACGTCACTCACATGACCTTGATTCTATGTGGGGTTTAGGACCTCATCATCCTCCACATCATCTTCCACCCACTCCTCAATCCTGCCCTCCCTGCCGGTATGCACACTGCAGAAAGCCACAGCAGTTTGCACCTGTGTTTTTCCAGCATGTAAAGTCTGCAAAGGACATATGGAAATTGTTTTAGAATATCCTCCAGGCAACAGTTTTCCCTACAAACTGACCTCTCAGTTTGACTTGTGAGGGTATTGCCCCAGAATTACAATATTGTTGAAGTACCTCTTAGCTATTGATCACTGGTTTGAATATAGCAACTTGTTATCTGGTAGTTTCTAGTGTAGAAATATTACAAGTGACCGATGTAGTAAATTCGAATCAAAGTTACGCTTTGATTTGACTCTCAGATATGAAGTGAACACTCCAAATGTACTATTTAGCACCAAATTTTATTTTTTTTTACAAAATTTACTTTTTAAAACTCCAATGTAAGCAGCAGATTAGCAGCAAAACAATGAGAATGTTTACAACTGCGCAGTAAGCGCACTATTTGACGCTTCTATTTGACTCTCAGATACGAAGTGCACCGCAGGCCACACATGTACTACTTAGCAGCTTAGCAGCAAAACAATTAGAATGTTTACCACTGCCCTGTAAGCGCTTCTATTTGACTCTCAGATATGAAGTGCACACCCCAAAATGTACTATTTAGCAGAGTAGCACCCAGAAAATAAGAATGTTTACCACTGCGCTGTTAAGTTTTAAAACTGCAATGTGACAGCAGTATTTGACAATTCTATATGACTCTCAGATATGAAGTGCATCCCACTAATGTACTACCCCACTAATGTACTATTTAGCACCAAAAAAAATTTACTTTTTAAAACTCTGATGTAACCGCGGTATTTGAAGCTTCTATTTGACTCTCAGATATGAAGTGCCCCCCACCCCACTAATGTACTAGTTTGCAGAATTCTTTCCTAAGCTGTCCATATCAGTGGCAGCATCCTCTCCCTACACTAATAAGACCTCATGTGCGTGCGGCGCTACGCGACTGCAGCTTATATATAGAGACTGGGTCACATGCTGCACTAGCCAATCACAGCCATGCCATTAGTAGGCATGGCTGTGATGGCTTCCAAAGGCACACGAGTCAAACGCTTGTTGATTGGCTGCCCTGCAGCCTTTGAAAACGCGCCATTAAATCGCCGAACACCGAACTCCAACCTGAACATACAGTGATATGTTCGGGTCCGGGTTCCAAAAAACCTAATGTTCGGTACGAACCCGAATTGTGCAGTTCGGGTTCGCTCAACTCTAGATATAACGACTGTATTATATTTGGCAAACTAAAGAGAACTATTGTTACTGGTTACTGTGTGCAACTCTCTTCTGACATTATAATTTGATAATAATTTATATAGTTCTGCTTTACCCCCATAACTGTCTGTCTATCTACCAATATATAGTCTATAACTCACTAAAACATGTCTTGCCACTTTCACACTAATTCCATTGCTAAAAGTTTACACACAATACACTATAAGGTTTTACATACCAGCTAAATTACTAATTTTATTAGACTATATCTTGATATACATTTACTAAAACTACTTCAGCCAGAATTTCACCAAAGTTATGTATTGAAGCTGCCATAAGCCTACTCGATAAGACAAAGATACTAAGTTCTTTACAAGGCCGGGAAATACATTAACAAGAAAATAGAAAGATGGGTGAATGAACAGTAACGATGGATATAAACCAAGTGCAGGCCAGCCTCTGTAAATAGGACACTCCAAATCCAATAATCAAAATAGAAATATATACAAAGTAACAGGGCGCCACAGTCACTATATCGGTATATATGAGGGCAAGAAAAATATATATAATGACTAATATCCAAAAAATAGTAATTTATTGACACAAGATAAAAAATAACAGCACAATAATAAGTGCCAAAACAATAAATAAGCAGGAACCCATAGGTATAGCAGCTCAATGATACATAATGCTGAACTGGGCAATAAAGTGCAAAATGCTAAAGTGCAAAATGAAAGTGCAAATGCTCAAAGGCAAAATGCTGGTGTTAAAATTGCACCAAGTAAATGACACATATATTCAAATGGCCCAAAGTATAAATGTAAACAAACAGCATACACACAAAATAAAACCGCTAATACCACAATGCAGGGTCCCAGATAGTGCTCAGTGTTCAATGCTCAACGCGTTTCGTCGCCAGACTTCCTCAGGAGCTTCTTCCATCTTTCTCCGTCTTCCTCCTTTTAAATCCGCCGGTGTATCTACCGGCTTCCATAATTGCCGTGGTTGCGCATGCGTCCATGCGTCATCACGCATAACGTCATACGTCATGACGTATACGTGACCGCTATGCGCATGCTCAACCAAGGTGAACCGCAAACAACTTTATTGTTCATATACACGGTAGCATTAAAGAGCGATCTTATGAAAAAAAAAAAAAAAACGCTCTACAAATATGCAAACCGGATTTACAATGCCTGCCTACCCCACTACTAACCCCTAACAAAAGAATACTAAATGTAAAGGGGGGAAATATAAATCAGACAGGTGGACAAAAGGAGGAAAGGATATATAAAAAAAATTTTATATGTATGAAAAAATATATAAAAATATATAAAAAATGTATAGCCTATTAAGGAAAAAAAAGAGTCCATTTATATTTCCACAATATCCATTATAATAAAGATGTACATAAACCTTACAAAAAAACCTCTATATAATAATAATAGAGGAGTAGATGAATAACATGTAAAAAATGTGGACAAATGAATAATCATCAAATTATGTAAGAGTAAAGATCAATATAAAAAATCTATAAATATAAATAAGAGTAATGATAATTATGATAAAAGCTGAAGGCATATAAAATCAAAACACATATAAAATTCACATATAAATATCTTATTAAATTTCTTTTCAAAATGTGATACCATAAAAATCTATATAAAAAATATATGTGTATAAAAATATATAAAAATGCATATAGAAAATACATACAAAGGATATATATCCATATTAAACAAATAAATAGATAAACTCAAAGGTGTGAATAAAAAGAGGTCATAAATAAAACATCGTACAATCAATCCATAAAAACTAATATGTCTAAATCAGTATTCAATCCTGAGGGAACAGAGGATTTCATTTTATATATCCACTCTGTTTCTCTCATTGCTAACCTCTTTTCTGTGTCCCCCCCTCTCCAGTGAGGTAAAACCATGTCGATCCCAATACAAATAAAATCATTAAAATCGAAATCTTTGCATGTATTACAGTGTCTGGGTACACTATGCTTCTCATTTTTATTTTTAATCCCATTAAAATGTTCAAGCAATCTAGTGTGTAATTTCCTAATCGTCCGTCCAATATATTGGACCCCACATTTACACTGTAGCAAGTATACCACAAATTTACTTTGACAGTTGATAAAATGTTTTATTTTAAAAGTTTCTTTAGTTACCATGCTAGAAAATTCTGTTGTCTTATTCTTTTGAAATTTACATGTGCTACACCTACCACATTTAAAAAAACCCTTAGGCCTTTCTATTAGGAAATTCATCTTCTCATTTTCAACTTGTCTTTTGGGCAAAATACTAGGAGCTAAAATATTCCTCAAATTATTGGGTCTTTTATAAATTACTCTAGGGTTCTGAGGTAAAATCTTTTTTAAAAACTTATCCTGTAGCAATATAGGCCAATTTTTCTTAATAGACTTCTCGATTAAATTGGCCTTATTGCTAAATTTTGTCAAAAAAGCAAATTCTGACTGATTCCCAGCACCCTTCTTAGTCTCCTTGGTATTCATTAGAACATCTCTCCTCTGATAACCTTCTACCTGTTTTTGTGTATTGGATAGAAGTATTTCAGGATAATTTCTATCCAGAAATTTTTTATTCAAAACCTGGACCTGTTGATTAAAATCTTCTTTCTCGGTGCAATTCCTATATAATCTCAAATGCTGTCCTTTGGGAATGTTCGTCAGCCATTTCCGATGGTGGCAACTTGAAAATTCAATAAAACCATTTCCATCTGTCGGTTTAAAAAAAGTTTTACTAAAAATTCTTTTATCTTTAATAAAAAGGGTAAGATCTAAAAAATTAATATACCTATCATGGATTTCTTCAGTAAACCTCAGTCCATATGTATTAGAATTGATGTAAGATAAAAATTCAGTTAAAAGACTTCTGCCACCTTTCCAGATAATTAAAACGTCATCAATGTACCTTCTCCATTGCACCAGGTTCGCACCAAATGGGTTATTACACCAAATATTGTTCAATTCCCAATCAGCCACAAAAATGTTGGCATAACTTGGTGCGAACCTGGTGCCCATCGCTGTTCCACATGTTTGAAGGTAATATAACCCTTCAAACCAAAAATAGTTGTGGAACAGGATGAATCTGATGAGATCTAAAACAAAGGTGGCCTGTCCTGGATTCATATCTGGATCACGACTCAGGACATTACGTACAGCTTCAA